AGCAAGGAGATAAAGAGCCAAAGGAGCACCCACATTAGCTCTGCATGCAGGGCATGATTCTGGGGTGCTCTGTGGGTTGGCTGGAGCAGCTGCCAGCCAGAACTTACACAAAATCCAGCTGGGGCAAATTCTACTGCTTCACATTCCCAGAGCTGGGACAAAATCTGCATTTATTTTCCTCAATAAAAGCCAAACAAATAGAAATCCCAGCATTTCCTGGCCGTACTGCAATTAAAATATATATATTATTATATGTATATATATATATAATATAATATATATATATAATATAATATATATAATTATATATATAATAATATATATAATATATATATATAAAATAATATATATATATAATATATATATATGCAAAGGAACACTTATATATACATATTATTCACATATATAAAGAAATGATAGAAGTATAATGGGGACAAATATAGACTTTGCACATCCTGCTCCAGTCCAAGTTTAAGAAACACTTTGCTTTTGGGAAAGTGTCAAAGTCAGGGCTCCTTCATAGCATCCACAAAGAGAAATTCAGAAAAAGACAATCCTCTTCTGTTTTCCACACCATCTGATTAATTATCATAATTGAAGTGAAGCAAAACCATGGTTTTTTAACCATCCCACCAAAATTCTTCTTACTGTGTAGGGAGCAGCTCATTTCTTACTTTTATTCCGCAGGAAGTTATTTTGACAAAGACGTGCTGATCACATAACATAGCAGTAATAAACCTCCCTCATTTCTAACGCTAATAGGCTGCTCATCTGTTGAAGCATGGCAATGACCAGCAATTAGCAGCCTTCTCATTTAGCTGCTGTGATTACACCCATTCTTATATTAGGATGGCATTAATTGCAGCTTATACCATCTTGATTTGTGGCACGTGGTGATTAAATGTAGCAGCAGGGGGTGGTAGTGGTGGCGGCAGTGGCTTTTCTTACTTCTTTCACCACCAGAAATGCTGGGAAAAAGCAAAGTAAGACAATGGCTGAGGCAGTCCAGCTCCCTGACCTGCTGTGTGCTGCAGATTTCCATTTCTTCTTCCTACTCAGTCCCCCTTTTCTCTAATCAGCAAAACTCATGAGAGTATTTGTTGCTCTCTCAAATTTAACAATTATTAATTTGTTCTTAAAAAATAAGGGAGTAACTAAAAAGTAAGTTTTGTATGGTTGCATGGTTCAGTCCTGGCCTGAGCCACTGATTGAGCATGTGGGGAAAGGACCCGGTCAGCCTTAGGAGCACAGGTGAAGGCAATTCAGCTGTGTGTCAGGAAGCCTGGCTGCACCTCTCTGAGATGTCATTGAAGGGCTGACTGCTACTGGGGAAGGATCTCTGGCTGGAGATTCCTTCTTGGTGAAGGGAACCTGCAAACATGGAATCTTCTGCTCCTTCTGTCATTACACTTCTAGTGAAATACCTTTTCCCGTCATGCTGATCTGTCCAATTGCTACAGTGGTCACCTGTGTCTCTTATTGCTTCCGTTAAAATTCTTGATCTCTGTGAAATCCATGCATCCTTTGTCTCTGAGACGGAGAGAAAATCCCTCATTCAAACCTGGCAGAGCAGCTAGATATTTGCAATTCTGTATGTATGAAAAAAACCACCTGTTACAAATACGGTGAATTAAGATATGCAGTGAAGTTTGTTGTTTTTCAGGCTTTCCTCTTGTGAGAGCAGTATCAGCCTTGCCTCTGACACTGAGTTCTCCATGGCTTAAACCAAAGCTTATCATGGATGCTCACTAATAACGTGCTGTTCTAAGGGGTGCCTGAGGCAGGGGCTCCCTTACAGAACTGTTTATGAATAAAATTAATGAGAGCAACATCTAAATCTAGTAATGCTGGAAATTCTCCTGTACGTCCTTAAAACCAGACATGTCAAATAAGTAGTACTTGTGAGTTATTTGTGCAATTGACACTTTCATCAATACTACTACTCCTATAATTATGAGTAGTACAACTCCCCTGGCTTGCAGGAATGTTGGGGAGACAGTTCCCTAGCAGTGGCACCTGGGTAGGCGAGGTGGATATGGCAGAAAAGGAACTTATTTTTCTTCAGGTTATATTTTAGTTGTGCAGCAGAGATAAGGCTTCAGAGTACAAACTTCAATAGTAAGGAGAAAAGAAAATAGAAAACTGTTGCCTGTTCTGTGCTCTTGAGTAAGGTAGCTCGTCAGAAGGGCTTATGCCAATACACCAGCACTACCTGAACAGGTAATTTAAGACTAAAAAACTATGCACATGAAAAAGGACGCGAATTAGTTTCTACAGTTAGTCTAATTTTGGTACTTCATACATTTTGTGTGTAGTTGTTGTTTTCTTGTTTTGATTTCTAGCATATTTTTATTTGAACTTGTATGTTTTGTAACAGCCTGTCTTCTCACAAGCTATTACTGGTTTATTTGAACGTAAGCTTAATGAAACAGGAGGAAGAAAGCAAACCTCATTGCTGGCTTCCTTCCCTTGAACAGATTAGCCTCCTCACGAAACACAGTATTCCCTGCTCACTGTGGAATTTATCCAGAGTAGAAACCATTTTCCCTGTAAGTACAGCTGAACAGTTGCAGTATATCTGATTCACTTGAACTGTGAAGACAAATAAGCCTGTGAGGAGGTACTTTCTTTGTGTTTTCAAATGCATTTTGCTGATGGCTTTTACTTCACTTTAACTGCTCCAATCATCAGGCATGATGCCAGCATACAGAGATGACCATAAAACTTCATAGCACATTTTGGACTTGAGGTGACCTGGCAGACTTTTCAACTTACAGCTAATTAGAAACCTCACTAGGGAATATCTCACTTCAGACAGAAAAGATTGTGAGTTGTTTTCAGTATGAAATAAATTGTACATAATATTTACTCACATTGATCCCTGAAGTGTGATATGCTTTGGGTTTGACAGCACTTCACCTTTCCTCTTCCTGGATCACATGAGGAGTTGATTGACTAGTTGTGATGTAGTCAAAGATAAGTACTGTTTATCCCTTTCTAATTCTGGCACAATACTTGCTAATTTGACCTTTCTAGAAAAGGATCCTACTTTCTGGTTGACTGCCTTGGAACACTAAACTGTTTACCCACTTTGTTAATTATCAGACAATCACATTACCCTACTGTTTGGATAAATAAGGAAGAGGGATGGAAGGGCGGGGGGTGAAGAGCAGCTTAATGTGAAGACAAAACTTTGGACATCTTCTGCTTTTCAGTACCAGATATACAAGCTGTTGGTTCATTAATCAAAACCCAAATACTTACATAACACAGATAGCTAAGTTTCAGTTGTTTGCAAAGTGAATCTGTCCACTTGACTGCACTATCAAATGACGTGTGATCTATTTGTAATAACATAACTAAAATGCAACTAATGTAATTTATTATTGACGTAAGCTACTATGGTAGGGATTTGCTTCTTTAGTGGGCAAAAGGGCAACACTAAGATAAAAGTAAACAACAAGTTGTAACTAAATTCAAGTGCATAATGCATGTAAATATATAACCAGCTATAATCAATAGCCAGGTATAATTTCAGGTCACTAGCCTGAACTAGGTGTGTGGGTCAGACAAGCTGTTTTGGGGAGCGATGTTTTGTCTCTGAGAGTCTCTAACATGTTAAGAAAACTGACTTTATTTTCTAATTTTCATTTAAGTACTGAAAATGTTAAAAACACCTATGCTTTGCTTTTCAATTCATTACATTCCCATCTGAAAGAAAAGTAGGTTTACCCGGTTCAAAATTTGCCTTCCTTGTTGTCTTAAGGGGAAAAACTTGGGGTCTTTTTGTTTGTTTTTTTATCCCTAGCCTTAGACTGAATGTGTACCACCCCAATACCAGTGGAACAAAGTGCAGACTGTAGCAGGATTCAGGGCACTATATGCAAAATGCCAACATTTTGCTATAGCAAATGCAATCATGAATTCCAGACTGGATTTCCACTTTTCAGATACACTTATTTCACATCTCTGGATCAATTTAAAGCAAAATATGTAATTTAAGTATAACAATTCACAGAGCTTGCAGTGTACAAAATAAGCGTGTGCATAAATCTGCTGAGGGGCAAATTGCCCATAATTATAATGATGCAATTTTTTAAAAAGAATGTAGGAAGTCAGTAAAATATTTAGTTCCGTTACAGATGGTTATTGCACTGAAGGAATATTTTGAGCTCTATTTAGTTGGTTTTAATTAAATTATGTCCTTTACAAGAAGATATAGGATTAAGAAGAAGGCACAGTTAAGGGACTGAGATATTGCTTAATATTTGAATTACGAAGCGTTTGTTATTTTTGCAAATATAGCACTTGCACATGCACATAGTTCTGCAGCATAACTGATCTCCTTAGTTCATTGCAAGATGAAATTCAGACATAAATTGGACGGGAAAAAATGGTTATGGGGCTTTCAGTGTAATTTTTCTCAGTAGATTTGCATTACAATCCTTACAACTAAGCAGATGCAAGATCAGATCTGAAAGGAAATTTCTTGAGGGTCAAATGTATTCAGAACTCAGTAAAAGAAAGTACACAGTTTTACAGAGCTACACAAGTGTAGGATTATTTATTTATTTATTTGAATTCTAAATTTAAAAAAAAAACTCCTTCATTATTTATACAGAAAAATCTTCTTTGCTTTTTACCAAGTGTTTTTCAATTTGAAAAGATCATTTCATTCCAATTTAGCCAAATGCTAGTGAATAATTTAGTACCTTTCTCTGCTGTCCTGTCATATTAATTAGTTAGAACCAAACAGTTCAAATATTCAAATAATAACTAATCTTTACTCAAATAATAGCTTTGAGTCTGAATATTACCAATTAAAACAGTCAGTTATGAGCAAAGACAATCACAGAATCATAGAATGGCCTGGGTTGAAAAGGACTACAATGATCATCTAGTATCAAACCCCCTGCTATGTGCAGGGTTGCCAACCATCAGACCAGGCTGCCCAGAGCCACATCCAGCCTGGCCTTGAATGCCTCCAGGGATGGGGCATCCACAGCCTCCTTGGGCATCACTTCTGTGAAATGAAAGTTAATGAAAAATAATCTTTCCATCAACTTAAGGATTGCCAAAAACATAGGCCTTCATACAACATCCTGCTGGGAATCTACCAGTAACCTCATTCGACAAACATAAAATCTAAATTCTCCATTTTTGTAGCTAATTCAGAACAGTGCTGCATAAAAATATGGAGAGAACAATTCACAAATAGTAACTACAAGCTACAGAGTTTAAGACAGCATGGCAATTCTGGGGCTGTTAGCTGGGACACTTACAGGGTTTTACAAATTTTAAGTAGAACGTGACAGTGGTGAGATCAGTTATTATTCATCCACGTTCATCCACTTTTTTTTTTCTTTTTTTTTCCACAAGAGAGAAGCAAGAACAAATGTTCCAAAATACTTTAATTTCACTCTGGAGCAAAGCTCAACCTACAAAAGCATCTAATCTTGTAGAATTACAGTTGCTTATATCGTGAATAACCTTGTCCCTAACCTTAGCATGTGTAATGATAATAAACTCTGTCTCTTTATCCCCTTATTAATACACTTATTATATAAAGAGCTGATCTGAGATAGTGAAAACTTCCTCAAAAGGAATCAAAGCCAATAAAAAAGTTGGGGAGAAAAAAGAGAAAACAAACGTGTCACTGAGGACCCAAGAGAGAGCATTTACAGAGAACTTAAAAAACAGCACCACCAAGATGCCAGCTAGTTAGGAGAAATAAAATGGAAGAGTGATGCTGATATGCGCAGGGTAATCGCATAAGAATAAAAGTGAACTGATGAAATCTTGTAGACAACAGATCTTTTCTTCATCGAGCAACAGGAATCTGTTCAAGGGAATATCACTAAATGGCACTGAGCTTTATTAAATAAAAGCAAAGGAAGAGAAACACTCTTCAGATTGCAAATGTACCCAGCATGCGTTACAATGAAGGGCTTCCAACTTGCATTGGAAAGAAAACAGACTTGAAGATGGACTTCCAAATTATTCAGACATGTCCCTATCTTAACAGGGATGGAATGACCCTAGTGTATTGTGAATTTTTACTTTGAACTGGAACTAATATTTTTCTATCATGTTGGATCAGTTTTATGCTTTTTTTTTTCTGCATCACATTATCTTATGTAGATTTTGACTGCTACTGAGCACTGAGAAGGATTTCTGTACTGTGCTGGATGTTCCTTTTGCCTTTTGCAATGACTGATAAGCTAGAACAGGACCATGCAAACAAGCAGTTCAGAATTTTCATTCTTATGTGCACTAGGCTACGTTTGTCAATGTCTGACTGTCATCAAGCATTATGCTGCCAATTTGTCTACTTCTGTTTCTATGAAGTTCCTCACAGCCTCGTCTTATAAAGACTTACGCTAAATAATTTTGTCATCTGCAAATCCTGCTGACCTCATTTTTTCTTCTACCCTTCATTTCTGCCTCTCCAGATAATTAATGAATACATTAAGTACTATCTATAACACAGATCCTTGGGACAAACTAATATTAACCTCCTGCTGAATTGAAAACTGACAGCCTAATGAATTAAATTCTCCACATAAGAATGGTGCTGCAATAGACATCAGAATGAGTTGAGCTTCATCCCTAACCTGAAGAAGAGGGGGAAAAAAAATCACCAGGAAAACAACTTCAGCAAGTACAAACACCTGCAATTGCTACTGAATGTTATTAGACTTGTAAAAAAAAAAAAAGAGGCTACTGCGTACAGTTTTATGCATCTCTAAGAGCTATTGTCCATACTTAAAGAAGCTGGATATACCTTAATAAATAAGATCACCTGATCTGTGTGTAACTCCTTCACTTGCTGCTGGAAGAATCATTAAGCAATCAGTAATACCTCAAGCATTTTTCACCTGCAAAATTGTTAAAAGTACTTTGACAGAAATATCCTCGCACCCCCAAATTTACTTGGGTATATGAAAGAATCATACAATCATAGACTCAGGAAGGATAATCTGTAGGTTTTAGAGCTAATTTAAACAAGATGGTGCAATCAGACTTCATACTTCGATCCGTACAGATTTTAATGCATACATAACATCCTGTATTCTGGTGTCCATGCAGCATCTCCTGCGTTTTCTTCTATCATTCCACTGCAGTAAGTTAAATCTTCTTTGGAAGAACTCATTATTGAAATAACAGCAATTGTGCTATGTTTCTTCAAGGTCAGCAAGAGTCCCTGATTTTTTTTGTACTTATGTGATCTTAGAGTGGAAAGTAAACTCTAATTTTACATTTGAAATGCATGTTATATACTGCAAGCATGCATGGAAAAATACAGAAGTATCTTGCTGAGTAAGTAGGTACAGAAGCCTTCTAGAGGCATAGCCTCACTCTGAACATTGTGTGCAGTTGTGGGTCCACAATATAAAAAGGATTTTAAGATACATGAATACATTAAGAGGAGGGCAACAAAGGTGATGAAAGGGCTGGAAGGCATGTCCTACGTGAGCAGAGGCTGAACAAAAGGAAAAATTTCTTCACTGTAAGGCTGGTCAAACAATGCTTTAGGCTTCCCAGAAGAGGTTTGTTCCCTGTGCATGTTAGTGTTCAAGAGGCATTTGGATAACACAATCATTACCAGTGCTAGGATAAGCGAAGTCAAGACTTCTGCCCAAAGTACTTCTGCTGGAAGACAGAAGAGATGCTAAAGCGTAATAAATTGTCCCATGTTGGTGTTTAAAGCATAGAAAATAAGAAAACAGTTTGGAACAGTGTTAACATTTAAAAAGACATAGAACTATTGTATTTGATTGCCCACTTAACACTTCTGAGGTGTACATACCATAATATGAAATCAAGTAACCTTGAAAAGATCATAATTCATTTTCCTTATTGCCATTACCTAAGTCATTAAACATATTCATAAGCCTACTTATACATTTGACTAATTATTTTCAAGGTTTAAGACTTCTGTGATTTCCTAAATTTCCCGGATGTATTTAAGGGGAAACAAAGGCTGGGATATTTGTTTGTTTGTTACTCTTCTATTTCTTGTGAATTCTCATCACTCATGCATTCATTCAGTTGCTCAGTGAATAGCTCATTAATATGATTTCCATCTCTGTATAAAGGCACATGGAAAAAACACTATTATGTAACACTTTGAAAAGAGCTATAAATAGGCTTCTTTAATAACCATAAATTTACATTAGAAAGGTAGATAAACTCTGATGTTAAAAGGTTTATTTTTATCTGCTGTTACTGTTTCATAATCTCAGTGTTATCAGACACATCCTGAATAATTGAGTAAGCCCTTGGTGTTTTATACTATCTGGGAAAGTCTTGCACATCAAATGGCTTTATAAAATAAAACTACCCATGGCAGCCAGGGCAGACTAGATAAAGCAACAAATGAGAGATTTGGCTCTGATTTAAGTGATGCTTCTAAACAAAAGTGGTCCCTTCCAAATAATTTGAAAGAAATCAACTTTGCTAGAATTTAACACTCTTTCCTTATTACCATTAACTGGCTGCCTTGATTTTAGTAATTTCCTGAATTTATGCCTTCCTTTGGCCAAACATCTTCTCATGACGCAGCTTGGAAAGAAAATACTGGCAGGAATAACGAAAGTGTTCAGTTTTACAGTTGCTATAAATCCATCATTAGTTTTGCAGAGAATAGTTGTAAGGCTGAGAGTGTTCTCATAAAATCTTCAATATGCGTATGAAGACACAAAAAGTCTAATACAGTAAATTGAACATGATAACTCCACCAGTAGAGAAAGCAATAAAGAAATAATTGAAAAATGAATGTTGTTTTATATACTCTGTTTCTATGATATCCATTTTAAAGTAATGAAAAGTAATGCACTTTCTGGCAATTCAATCTCTGTAGCAGCAGATCAGAGTCCTAGCAGAGGCAGGTACCTGAACCACACATGACAGCAGGATGGATGCAAACTCAGTGAGTTCTGCCAGTCAGACTGAGCAGCTGTGTAGGTTTGCACGTTGCTAAGACTTTTCATACAGTTTTGAAATAATGGCTGATTAAAACTAAACACTCAAGTACAATGATCTGAAACTACTGACTCCCACCACCCCTGTCACAGCAAGAAGGGATGTTTGTTACAATCTACTTTTCTTCTCTTGGCTGTTTAAGTGCATCTTCACGTATAGGACTACTTTACTTCCATGGCTGGTGCTTCTTTGATGCAGATATTTCACAGGGCTCTGCAGATGTAAGGATGGAACCAACAGCAAACTAAGCAGGAAGAAAGCAAAGCAATGAAAGCTATAGAAATAGTCAGCCAGGAAATACACATAAAGCACTGTACTTTGAGAGCATAGATGAGTAAAATAGACACAATGAGGGCAGCTCAAGTGTTATCAGATGTGGCCTGATAAGAAGGAAGGAAACTGACCATTTTTCCCAGCTATTTTGCAGGATATTATTTTACTCTCCTTAAACAAAGAACACCAGAAAAAAAAGGTTCTGATATCTCTGATATTCTCACATATTCTCTGATATTCTACTAACAGCCCACTTTCTTTCTCCAACTCCATTAACCTGCCCTTTTCATTTTCTACTCAGCTTGGTGTATCTTCCTTGGATTCTCAACCACGGAATCCACATTCTAAGAGCAGTCTTTCCATTAAACATACTACAATTACAATTACTTGGTTGCCTTTCTTCAGACCTTAATTTATTTGAAAGGTTCATAAAGGCAACAGCACAGATTTTTTTTCATTGATCTACTATGTGAATTCTGATTTTTTTAGTTTCATGAAACTGTCCATACAATTAGACTGCACACAATGCATTTATCTGCTCATGCAACACAGAGCCCTATATTGTTAACACACATAGACATATCCACGTAGGATATAGTTGAAACTGCTCTATCAGTAATGCTAAGCTTAAACAAGTATACTTCAATAGAATCTTCCAGACCTCATTATGTTACTTGGCTAGAATTTAACTTTTTGAGTTGCAATTGTTCACACTTGGTATTTTGTTTGTTCTGTTTAGAACTACTTTGGAAGATTTAAAATTATTCAGACATTTTAAAATATGAAATGCCTGAAAGTAAAGGCAGGTGATTTTTGGCTAGTTGTTTTTTTGTTTTTTCTTTTCTTTTTAAGTAAGCTTTTTCTTCTGAAGCTGATGTTTTCTTTGATCAGAATTTGGCAGACACTCAGGCCTCAATCCAGGAACGCATACAGATACATGCTTAGTATCCACATCAAGTTGGTTCAGCCTTCCTGAACATAAGCCCTGCAAGCAGCTGAACTGCTAAAACAGGACACCTATTGTACATCCTCGAGATCTGAGGCAGGGGAAGAGCTGATGCAATTCTAAGAGAAGACAAGTGAAAAAGCTGCATAGCACGTGGTGTTTTGTTATTTACTCAGTGTATTTTGATTGCCTCTCAAATTTCTTTAAAACACAGTTCTTCTACTCAGTCTCAGCTGCTTGGAGAATAACAGTTTATTGTTTGCCTTTATCCTTCTCACAGCTAAACAGCTCATTAAAGTACTCTCCATTATCATCCAATAACTGCATTCTTTGTGACCAAAAACATTTCCATTTTTGCTCCTCATTAGGCTTACTTTTACATTCCTACCATTCCTAAACGTCTCACTTTACAAAAAATCTTTCCTGCTCCTATTGTCTAATGTGCCAGCTAACCACCATTCCACGTGAAAATATTTCTACACACTTTGCATTGCCATTTCAGCCTGAGAAAGACGTGCTGACTCCATACTAGTCCCATACCAATACAGAAAAAGAAATCCAAGCACTGCAGCAATTATACTGGCAACCAACAAGTTTAGTAACTTCTCAGAGTGCGCAGCAAGTCTTCCTCCTAAGCTATTCTTTTCCAAAACAGTCTCTAATGATAACGCAGTGCCACTGCATACTTTCAATTTAAGTAAGTAGAATACTCACTTCATAATTTTACTGTCTAATGGAAATTGCAGAGTTGCTCATCAATGTGTCCTCCATAATGCACTTCTTACAATTGTTTTGAAAGCTTCTGAGTATGCACTTATGTCAGATATTTAATTGCTTCAGGTCTTAAGCGCACGTTGATGTTACTTATGAAATATTTTAAGTCATCCAGGTCTAACTATACAAGAACAACAATCTTCCAATAATACAGAATAGTTACTCATCAGGTACTGCAGATTTAAGATACACTCAGATTGCAAAACCAATTTTTAACAGCTAGGAAACACTTTTTTCTCACCTCATTCAAAGCAAAGCACTCGCTATCTACTCCTTAGCCACTCTGCTGTAATTACACTGGAATTGACTGTAAACGTAAGGCATTGATTTGATCATGGGTGATTTTATCTCATCCTTTCCTAATATCTGAGTCTTTTCTGAACTTTTCTCCAGAGCACATCTATGAAAGAAGGTTATGAACTCTGTGACAGAGTACACAAAGAAGTGTCAGTTTTTTGGGGAGCAGTGTAGTGTGTAGTGCCTTGATTTGCCAGAACTTTTAATACCATAAATATTTCTGGGCCCAGTTCCCAGTGATTTACATTGCAGCTGTGAAGTTCAGCCCTTCTCTAAAGTCATGCCATTTCATTATGTGCATTCAGAAAATGAGCAATATACAAACAGAAGCTGCAGTGAGAAGTGAACTGTCCAGCACAACACATCTCCCTAGGGCAGAACAGGGAACAGTCTGACAACTAACACACTATAGCTGAATAAATACTGGAAAAAAAGTATACTCCTAGGTAAATAAGACCTGTGTAAACTTACTTGCTTAGAATAGATGAGAACCAGTGAACTCACTAATGTAAATTGTAAGTGGGCAACATATCAGCTATGCCCCTGGATGGCATCCAAACTCTCTAAACAGAATTCAAATACTTTAAAAACAAAATGATTCTTCCATTCTTTGCGTCCCTTTTCTCACTGAATATCTAACCAACTTCATTCATGACAGAAGTGATTACTTCAAGGAGCTTGACTTTTCTCATGTACTGAATGGTAAAGAGATCATACTGTTAAACATACGGCAAAATAATTATATATGTGAGCAGACATTGTCAACAAGATATGACTGCAATATCAGTCTGGCTTCTGACTTGCAAAATACAATGTTTTTTTCAGAGTACTTTAAGGTGTGTACAAGCATCTAAAAAATCAAATTAATAAATACAGAAATTCCATCATATGAAACCACAGTTATTCCTACGTACATCATTCATTCATTTTAAATTTTCAGCAAAAAATGCCTGCAACAAAGTGAAATGAGCACTACAGTGCTGTCCTCCACTACAAAGTCCAATAAGTACCTTGTGGTAAAGCATATGTTTTGCAAGGTATTTATTTACAAAGAAACAGGGAAAAAAATGCTTAATTGAAATATGTGCTTCTTGGATTCCATTTCAAACTCTAAATTCTTAAATAATTTAAGATCTATCAGTGCTGGTTAAGTCTTCACTCTCTTCTCTTCTTGCCATGTTGTCCTACTTCCCATGCTGTCTGACCGCTCTTCTGAGCACTACAGGAAAAGGTCAAGCCAGCATAAGGCCAGCTGACGAAATCCACCTACTTACTGTGCTTGTTGGAGGGGCTCCAAGCTGCTCACACCACAGTCACCACTGCATTCACCTGGCTTACAGAGTTCACGTCTCACGGAGTTCCCTTTCTGGTTTCCTTAACCTCTTTCTGCACTTTGGTCCATGTACCACTTCTTCACCTATGGCATGAAGAGTACAAAAGAATACGTCTTCCTACTCGAACTACATAGAAAGGATGTAGGATGTATGTGAAGGATGTATCTTTTATTATAAAAGCGCTGTTTAGCCTAGCTGTTAGTAACACAGTAAGTAGCACAACCAGCGCAGTGACAGTGCAATATATAGCGATGCATAATGTAAAATTTGAGAGGTGACACGCACCTCCTCACTGGTGTTTTTGAACTGGGGGGAGGATTCAGGTTGCGTTTTTTATCGGTGAAGTCCATTATAACCAAATTGTCGCACACCCCCGTGCCTCGGACGTTCAACCAGTCCCTTATCGACCTCAACCATGCCAGAGCGACAGGGCAGGGCAGGCCCGGTCCGTCCCCTCTCCTCCCTTCACCCCTCCGCCCCCCCCGGGGCGCCGTCCCGCCCTGCCCCGCCGCTGACGTCCCTCCGCCCGCGGCGCACTGCCGCCCTTTCCCGCCCCCAACGGCGGCGCTCCCCGTGGCGGAGCATGGCTCCCCCCGCGCCTCGGGCGCTGCTCCTCCTGCTCCTTCTCCACCGCCTCGCCGCCTCCTCCAAGCTCAACATCCCCAAAGTGCTGCTGCCCTTCACCCGCGGTACCCGCGTCAACTTCACGCTAGAGGCCAGCGAAGGCTGCTACCGATGGTGAGTGCAGGTGCCGCCGCTCTTTGTCCGCCACTTCTCCCGGCTGCACCTGCGGCGTTCCCTCCCTCAGCCCGGGGGGAGCTCGAGCCCCGACCTCCGGGCACCGCGCCGTGCCGCAGCGGGAGCCGCGCCGCCAGGCCGCCCGCCACGCGGGCTCACGTCGCTTCGGCGCTCCGCCTGCTCCCCGTGCGGAATCCCTGAGGGGAAACACCGTTCCCGCCCCGCTCCCACACGTGTCCTCGCACTGCAGCCTTGTTGCCGCTCACGCCCTGCAGCAGCGCAGGTGTGGGCACGCCGCCCGGGCTGCGCGCTCTGTTCCGCTGTAGAAATGCCCCTTCCTCGCTGAATAACGAGGGACCGCCGGGTCGGGGTTTGGTTACCAAGGCGAGCGAGGGACTGAACGACAATTAGCTGTTGCAGATTTAGAAACTGTGTCGCGGCCTCCGTGTTAAATGAGTGCCATCAGCTCCTTATCTCCCATTTAATATACCTAAACTATAATTTATATGAGCAGGAAGTTTGTGTTGAAGAAGCTGTGGCAGCTGGGATATGTTCAGGAGGAGGCCAAACAGGTGCTGGCAGCTTTCAGCTGTTATTTGGTAGCTGGCAGTTACTGAAGCACGTTGTTTTAGGTCTGTTTTCACTGTATCAGTTTATTTGTGCTATTACCCTTCCCATCCCTGTTTAGTTCCGTGGCTTAGGTCTGTGGTAACTCAGGTGTTATTCCACGTATTGGAGCATCCAGAGTTGGCCGGAAGCAAGTTAGAGCCAGCTGCACGTGGTGATGTAAGTTACTTACATGGACTAGTGGCAAAGTGCAGGGATTTTCCTTTCTGTAGGAAATCTTTGGAGGTAACTGAGTCCTTAAAGGCTTTGTTGTGGGGGGTGAAGTACATTCTAGAAAGTAGGAACAAACTCATCTAAGTACTAGTAAAGTCTGGGAAGTGTGGGCAGCCTTCCCTGTTTTGCCAGTGACCAGCTGGCTGGGCTGGCTGCTGCCCTTCCTGCACATGCCAGACACTGTCAGAAGTATGTGGGCATCTCTATATCACACGAAGGTCTACAGATGGAGGATAAGACTGTGCTCTAGAGAAATGCCATACTTGGTCCATTAGAGAGAGATCAAATGAGAGTGATCTGTAGTCATTACAGAGCACATTATGCTGGTAGTTTGCCATGAGTCACGTACCTTGTGCACATTGGCTTCAGCAGTTTCCATCCTCTATGTCTTTAGAGATAAATTTTGGTTGAGAATTAAGGAACCTATACCAGCTTCATACAGGATGCCATCGCTTTCTGTACTGGGGTTGTAAATGTGTTTTTGCTCACTTCTGCTTTGCAGGGACTGGCAGGATGTGGGTGGTAAAACTCAACATGTGCTTGCAAAACTGTCAGAAGGAAGCAGTAGCTGTGTGTGTGGGACTGAGCAAAAGCAGTAATGCTTGTCATGCTCTGAGTGTGCTTGCTAGACTGCATCTGCATCTCTCTGCATCCTTGCCCTTGCGGGCCTTGAGCTGCAGGATATTAGAAAGAGATAAAGACTGCAGGGGCAAGTCTGTATTGACTTGCTGACAAGTTTCCTGTACTTTATGAAAAGGCTGTTGGTAGTAGCTGCTAACGGAGATAGGCCATTAAGCTGCAGAAGTTTGGAAGTACCAATATAATGAGCTCAGAAGTAGTGATCATGTCTGTAAAATAAGGGTTAGGTTTCCGTGTGTAAAAGCAAAAATTAGACATTTGGGGCTGTTGATGTGTCTGAGGAAGGAAGGAACTGAGGTTGTCTAATGCAGCTGATTGTAGGGTGGGAAGTAGCATATGAAACCTGCTCTCATGTTATCAGCATCTGTCTTCCAGAGTTGTCCTTTGAGTATTTGAAGTGCAGCTTTAGTCATGCCAAGCATCCAGGGTCCATGCCCAATTTCTTATCTATGACATGTTGTGACTTAATTTCTTCTAGTTTCCCTTTGGAGTTTATCTCTCCATGTTTACCTCCGAAAGCAAGATGATCAAAATGATCACTGTGATGCTGAAAATTCCTCAGATGTTTTTTTTTTTTGTTTTTTTTTTTTAAGGTGCTTGTGCTTTCAGGTCTTAGGGTTCCTCTTTCCTTCCCCTCTTTCCTTCCCCTCCTTCCCCTCTTTCCCCTTCTCTTTTTAAAGCTTTATTTTCAAACACAAGGTTTTCCTACCTGTAAGTTTTGTACATAGTACTGTCTTCTTGGATAAGACAGCCTGTGCGGATATATTCAGCACTTAAATCACATTTTTATTTGTTTTTTAATTACCTTGATCCTGAAGTTACACCTGGCAGATTGAAAGCATTGAGAAGGAGAATTCTTTCCTTGAAATCTGCCTCAACATAATAACGACTGGAGAGAATGGACAGCAAAAACATTTTCCCTGAAGGCATACAGCGTGGCAGGATATTTCTAGCAGAAGTTACGTGTAGCATCTATATGTGTTGACATGTTTGTAACAGTATTATTTCATGTCTTCAAAATTGTGGCTTATGGTAAGAATCGATGGAAAGTTGAGCTTCTGAAGTTGGCTTTGAGAAATACAACTGATTAAATTTAGATCGCTATGGTCAGTTTCCTTAAGGAAGGGCTACAGCTATGCAAAGATGATAGTGGCCGTGTAATACTTGTTGCCACTGTGATGATGGTGAGCTGATTTCTCTTGAAAGGTTTTGTATATGCTGCTGAGGATGCTGGTGGCAGAACTGAAGTTCTGCTGAAGCTGCTGCCCTCGTGGCAGGGTGCTGGCTGAGATACAGTGGCTCGGTGCTGTTTGGGCTGTCATGGATGGTGCTTTCTGAGAAACCAAAGCCTACGTGCAACGCTGCTGTTGCAATAGATGGCTGGCAAAGCTCGTTCTCTGACTCCGTATCTTGCATTTCTGTTATTGGTTTGTAAATTTGTCTTATCACTCCGTGAGATATATCTGATGGCTTGCAGCGTTCTGTAATAACACAGCAGGGTTGCTGACCAAGTCTGTAACCTTGTTTTGCTGCTGACAATCTAAAGACATTCGGCTTTTTCATCACTGCTGTTGTTTCCTGGATACCTGTGTTAGCAGGAGTCTACAAAAGCCTTGTCTTAGTTTCTAACTGAAAAGTTCTAGTGTGAGACACTGATTGTCACTTCCTTTGCTATAAAAATATTCGTTATGTAGTGATTGTTACTGCCTGCTGTTCTTACCCCTTCCTTTGGTTTCCACCTGCCCTGCATTTCCTCCTGGCAGGGCCATTGTAGAGGGTGGCAAAGCATTCCCTCTCCTCTGGGAGGTGCCCACCCTTTAGTGGGTGCTTTCTCAGCTCCATTGGGAACTCCTGTGGATGTAGAATCAGCTCAGGATCAGGCTGAGGTTGGGTACAGAGGCAGGCTGTGCTGCTGTGGCCCTGCAGCATCAGTGTTACGGTGGTTTGAAACCAGAGAGGGTGGCATGAGAGCCTGGTATATTTGTTTTGTCAGAACTGAAGAGGTACAATCAGTAGTTGTGCTTTTTCTCTTAGCAGATGTGTTAACCTGCAGTGCAGGTTTACTCCTGGGGAAGCTTCTTCTGAGTCGGAGCACGTCCTGCCCAGGAAGGAGGACAGGGAGAGCAGGCATTCATGTTTCTTGTTAGTTTGGCAGCTGTCACTGCTGGACATCTACGAATCGCTCTACAAGTTTTGCTCTCATGTGGATGTGGATCATCTAAGCTTGAAGGGTGTCTACATATGACAAGGTTTCAGAGGCTGAATAGTCTGAAACAATGCAAAATGCGAAGTCTGTTTCAGAATGAAACTACCATTTTTAACTGAATTTTCTATTTTGAAATCAGGTTAAGGTAATATCAGAAAAACGCATGTAGGGAAACCTTTACTTGTTGCATTCTTTTAGTTGCATGTTTCCAGTTCAAAAACACCAAGCTGACTAGCAGAGGGACAGTGCAGCATGCTATTTCCCCTCCTGCAGGCAAGACACAAAGGTAAGCACTTGCAGTAAAATGCTTTGGGCCACTTGTTGATTTGACAAAGTATGCAAGTTAGCTGGGCTGTGTTGGATTGTGAAAACAATCACCACTGGCTAACTTGGCCTCCTCTGAAGTTAATGTCACGTCAACTGATCATTTTATACATCTCGTGAGTGAAAGCTTCATTCTTGGCTCATTTTGTGGTGTGTGATGTTTCCATTTGCCTTTAAAGCAGAACTGGATGGAGGATTTCTTGCTGCTTTTTGCTTTCCTAGTGCATTTCAAAAATCCTATGAGAGGACTGAGTGAGCAATATAGATAATCTCCCACTGGTAGTTGCAAATCCTTAAGATTTGAGGCGACTCTACCAGATTTCCTCTGTTTGTTTTTTTTTTTTTTTCTTTTTTTTTGGAGTGGGATCAGTTTCCATATCCTCTGTTCTCTAGGAATATAGTTTTTATCATATAACTACAGTTGCCTGTATGCTATTCTGCCTCGTGTTCTTTTTTGTATGCCAGCAGTGTTAGCCTCTAGAGTGGGCTAACGCTGCTGGCATACAAAACGAGCAGAAATAAGGCAGTTACTGCATTGGTCAATCTAGTCCTATGAAACTCCTTAAAACCTTTACTGTCTGCTTTCTCTGGTTGTGCATCTGCCTACATACCTGAATATTCTGAAATATTCAATTTGGTTATGGTACATCTCTGCAAAGGTGGATTTTTGCTCATTTAATCAGTTACATTTAGTCCAAAGAGCTGACAAAGCAATGTAATATGTGGAAGCAATGCAAATCAGTAGTGTTTTCCTGGATGTAGGGAAATAATGTTTGCCTTATCTTTAAACCAGCTGATAAGAAGATTAAATATAATCCTTGAAGTATTCGTATGTGATATCACAGAACAGTAAATAAAAATACAGGAATGGAGCTGGATAGATCCATAGGTGTAATCTTGCCACTCAGCTCTGTGTCCAAGGGAGAAAAGCTTATGAATGAAATGGAAATAAGTGAGAGGGCTGGCTGTAATAATTGCAACTTCCGTCGGTTTTTCCATAAGTAGGGGAAATAAATATTGGCACTTCTCTTTGCTTTTTTTCACCTCCACCTCATCCTTTTTTCTAGTTACCCCCCCCCCCCCCCCGGCACACTC